AGTGAAATAACACAGGAACAATATGAAGGTGACTGAACTAAATATATATAGTGGTGAACTGTATATTTAGAACTATATAGTATATATATGTAGTGATGGTGTTGAAAATTAGGGCCCAAGGTGCTGTTAGCCTTTAGAGTTTTTGGCATTCTAGTAATAATCATAGTTGGGTTCTGATTATTACTTGACTATCCATATTTTTGCAAAGCAGTTATGGTAATATAAATAGAAATGATAGAACCATTTTAAGAATATTGAAAGAATCAAGATCATATTGATGTAAGGGGAAGTATTTACCTAAGTCAACATCCTTTTATCTCTGAGGTTTTTCCTGGTCAAGGCAAACAAAGCCAGGCAAGTGAGGAGCCATTGGGTAGAGGTAGTGCCGTTGTTCTGGACCTAGGTAGGGATTTTGGCAGACCAATCTGTGTAATAATATCCAAATAGTTATGTAGATTTTGGTTTCAGGGACATTAAGTATCATAGTGGATGAAATATTCAAAATGTAGTTATGAACAAGAATGTGAGATGAGTGTGGGTATCTGGGGACGTAGTGTTACCTCTTACATTGCCCCGGGCAAGCTTTCCCTCCTCCACACTGGACCAGCAGGCATGGTTACATGGATTTTCTCATTTCATTTTCATAACTTTATGGGGTAGGTATACTTATAATAACAGCCATTTTGTAAATAAGGAAACTGAGACGAGCTACATAGCTAGAGAATTTAGGAAGTCTTTAAATTAGATTAAAATTGGGCTCATACCAATTGAGGCTATATATATATATATATATATATATATATATATATATATATATGTGTGTGTGTGTGTGTGTGTAGATAAAGATATGAATGTGGGTATAGATTGACATATATACAGTGTGCTTTTTTGTTTTAATAGCATGTATTTCAGAGCCTTTCATGTCAACAGAGATCTTTTTAACCTTGCATAAAGTTACATATTCATATGTATCATAATTCAGTAAGACATTTTCTTTATCAGTGGACGTTTAGGCAATTTCCAACTTTGGGCTATTACAGATAGTGCTGTAATGAACTCGCTTGCATGAACATCTTTGTACACATTTGCAAATATCTCTCTAAATACATAGATGTAGCATTATTGGGTCAAAGGATTTACATTTAAAATCTTGATAGTTGTTCTTAAATTATGTTTTTATTCCCCCCTACTTTACAAGAGTATTCTTTTTCCTGTATTCTCACAAACAGTAGACGTCACAGTCTTTTTTTTTAAACCATTCGTTTGGGCAAATTCCTGGTATTTCCTTGTTGTACTTGACGTTTGCTTAATTTTTAGTGAAGCTGAGTGACTTTACATCATTTATTGAGCATTAATGTTTCTTTGTTGAATTCTAATTAAAATTTTCCCTACTTATACATGCAGTTGTTTGAGGTGGTAAAGCTCTTTGTATATTATGCATATTCATATTTCATCTTGTTATTTGGCAGTTTTTCCTCCTAATATTTAACTTTTCTTATAATTTCATTATGGTATATTTGTTGTCTAGAAATTTTTAGCATTGAATTTTAATCAAATAGTTTATTCATTTCTTTTAAATTTCTAGGATCTGTGGCTTTGTAGCAACATCCTAAGAGGATCTAGTCAATTAAACATTGTCCATATTTTCTTTAGTCCTTTTATAGTTTATACTTTTTTTTGTTCTTAACCACTTTAAATTTTACTTTTGTTATTGATATGAAATAGGATTTTTATCAGATAGATATTTCATTCTTTCCCTACTATTTATTGAATATATTACCCTAACTAATTTGAATAGAGAAGTAGAGGAGTAGAACAGAAGAGAATACAAAAATAGATCTACCTTGGGGCCAAAACTTCATTGCCTGAATAAATGAAGTTTTATTGTATGTTTGATGTCTCATAGGGTCTGTTTCCATCCTATTCTTCTTTTCAAGCAGCTTGTTAGTTTTTCCATGAAAAATGTGAGTGGGATTTTAATTTTGACTGCTCCACATTCATAAATTAAGTTGGGCCAAACTAACATTTACAGTAATTTAAGAGTGTAGATGCCTTTGCAATATTAAGAATTTTATCCAGGATATAGTATGCCATTATACATATTTAGGGCTTTTATATTTTTCAGTTAAATTTTATAGAGAAGGATATCCTTGCACATTTATAATTAGTAATTCCTGGGTATTTTATAGTTTCTGATCTTTTCTGTTATATTTTCTGAATTATTTTTTGTGTTTTTGTGTGTGTATTTTTTATTATGTTTCTTTAGTGAACTCTTTTTAGTTCTAATCATGTTTATGTTAAATCTTTTGGATTCTTCAAGTAAATGATAGCTTAATCTGTACGTAATGAATTCTGGCTTTTCTTTTTCAGTTTATAGGTTTTTCCTATATACCCACATAATTTACCACACTATGAGTAATTTGAAGATGAAAAGTGTCTTACGTTATTTTTTTTCTACAGAATGAAATAGTGATATAGTCATCTGATTGCTAGATGCCTCAAAAATTATTTAAAATACCATTTTCCAATATGGAGTCATACAGTTATTTATTTAGTTTCAGGATACCCCCAAATGAACTTTTTAAACCAGCCTGATTGAGGAAGAACAGTTGATAGCAGAGAGTTTTGGGATCCTGAAAAATGTTAGGAACGTGTTAATTTATTTGAAACAGTTCTCCCATACTTATATTTTACACACACACACACACACACACTTATTTATTAACTTAATTACTATGTGGTAGCAAAATTGAGCCATGTTTCAGAATGGATATCATTTAAATCCAAGTTCTGCAATCATCTATATATTCTTGGATCTTTAGCAGATTTTGAGAAGTAGCAAACATTAATGGAATAATTTCCAGTCATATCTGCCAGTAGTTTCCAGGACATGTAAGCTCCAGATCCAGGTAACTTTTTGTGTGTTGTTAAAGTTTGCTCCCCTAGGCATGTTCCATTGTAGTCCGCTCAACTCTCTGTGTTTCTAAAAATATAGATATAGATAAGGATTATTTTGTCTAGGATCTTATATTTGAAGTAAACAGTCTACATCTTCTACACTCGAATATATGAATCCTTGTTTATTCTTTAAGACTCAACCTAGAGGCACCTGGGTGTCTCAGTCGGTTAAGCGTCTGACTTCGTCTCAGGTCATGATCTTGTGGTTTGTGAGTTCGAGCTCCGCATCGGGCTCTGTGCTAACAGCTCAGAACCTGGAGCCTGCTTCAGATTCTGTGTCCTCCTCTCTCTGCCCCTCCCACGCTCATGCTCTGTCTCTCTCTGTCTCTCAATAATGAATAAACGTTAAAAAAAATTTAAAAAAAAGACCCAACGACTTAAATATTTTCCCTTTCATGAAATTCTTCCCTTTCTCAGGCAAATGAGAAAGATTACTTGGTATAAACTTCTGTTATATCATTTATCACATTATAGTATAGCTGTTTACTTTGATTTCTGTGTCCCCACTAACCTGTGCGTTCTCCAGTGTCAAGCACAGTGCTTGGCATAGAGCTGGCACTCAGTAAATTGTTGATGGATGCATAAAATGTGAATAAGCGATTACCAAAACTTATAAGGGAAGTGAAAGATCAAAAGGGCTGTCTAAGAGAATGTTATCAATCTGACAACTTAAGAAAAAGATTAGAGGGTTCTGTGGAAGGGGCATAGGAAGCATAGTTTATGAAAAGATTAATAAAAAAGGTACAAGCCCTATAGTTTGGAAATATGCATTTTGATGCAGTGATGTTTATCATGGTGGAGAAATGTGGCAGAGACCAAATGAGTGGCACGAGGCCATGAAAACATGCTGAAAGTCAGGAAGAAAAACGGTATTCATTCTGGTACAAATATTATAAATGGCATGATTTTGATAAATTTATACCATAGGAACCACGCATCTGCTTCTATATATACATGTATTTCTGGTTTATAGGTTACCATATATAGCATACAAGAGTTGCCAGTTTTCCAATAATATGAATGTAAAACACACCTGGACCAGCAAGGCCAACTTTCTAGGTGACATACTTGATTTCTTTCATCTCTGACCTTCTGTTCTGCTTTCTTTTTTGATTATGACTTTTTATGTATATTTATTAACAAAAAACCTTCTCCTAGATTTTAAGCTTTTGGGGACATTACAGAGTTTTTTTCAGGTATAGTTTAGATGCTTAATAATTATTAAATTTAATTGAAAATGTCAGTTTTTATAATACATATTAATTAGATTGATGAACATACATTTCTTTCTTTTAGATATTCCTCAGTGAAGTAAGTGAAGGATAGTATACCTATTTCCAGCTACTTTTCAAATAGAGTAAATAAGGACAATCAAGTTTCTTATGGCTATATCTGAAGACCACATTTAGTAATCTTTCAGATGATTTAGGTGAGAAAGAAAGAGCTGGCAATATCCTAGTTCTCTGCAGCTCGTGAGCAGTATTTTGATAGTTGTTTCATTGAAAGGCTCAATGAGAATCTAATTTGGATATACATTCAAGTAAAATAAGAGATGAAAATGAGAGCTTAACCTCGCTCAGCACAGTATAGAATAGAAGTCGGTTTCAGTGATTCTGTGATTGAAATATAATTATAGTAGTGACGTACCACAACACCGATGCTTGTATACGTCATAGCATGAAACGGGTTCAATGTGGGTATTTGCTTAGGTAGCTTCAAGGCCCTTCACCATAGTTTCTTCAGGAACCAGCAAAGCCTTGCAGCTAATATGATATACTCTGATTCTATAAAAAGCAATGAATTTTGCTATTCAGATAATACATCCTGTGGCTATTGTTGTCTCCCACATTATTAAAGGTGGTAGAATGATATACATTTTAAAATGTAAGTTATTTTTATTCTAATTCAATTTTCCTTTTCTTAACATCTCATTGTACAGAACTTTTAACTTACCTGGTTTTCAATACTTAGCAGGGTTTCTTAAAAAAATTAAGAAAGCCATCTTTTCTGGATTATCATCTTCTTGTGACCTCTTACTACAGGTTTTCAGCACATACTCCAATGAAGACTATGACAGGAGAAACGATGAAGTGGACCCTGTGGCTGCTTCTGCCGAGTATGAACTTGAAAAGCGTGTAGAAAAGCTGGAACTTTTCCCAGTGGAACTAGAAAAAGGTATGTGAGCTCTACAATGTTTGTAATGTCATTATATTGCTATTTTAATAATACAGAAATGACTTTATTTTCCTCACCTGTAGCCCTTCTACCCCCAAGGGTTGGATAAAGTTTTAATTCTCATGGAAGATTTAATTTATTTATTACATTTCAAAAGTAGTTGAGATGAGCTCTGTATAGATGGTAGACTCCTTCTTCCCTCCCACTCCCAGCAGAAACCCATCTGCTTTAGTTGGCTGGAATGGTGACTAGTGTAGGGAGGTGTGGGTAGGGCCTCATGTTTGGTTGGTACCCTTACAAGGGTGAGAGTCCAGAGGGAGTGGGTGGATGTGAGCGCTTGGGGCAGGTGGTTGTTTTGTTTTTGTTTTTGAGTTCTTGACGGAGGGAGAGTGGTCATGGTTGGACTCTGAATGTGGTAGATGGGAGAGTGTTGGACTTTTAGAGTATGGATTTTGGAATGAAGCCAGTGGAATCTTATCTCTGAAGGGAGAGGGCTAAGAGAGAGCAGGGAGAATGGGAGCCAAGGGGCTTCCTCCCAATTTCTCCTCTTGGAAACCCAGCCTGCCTGCGGTGGGAAGTGAGGACCCATGGCCCCAGAGACTGCCATGTCTATCCTCGTGTAAGATGGGCACCCAGGAATGGAGGGGGACCCAGTGAACAGGGAGATAGCATATCTCAGAGAGTCTTGGAAAAAAGCAGAACAAACAGATGACAGCTTGAATAACAAAATGAAGCAAATGAAAAACCAAATGAGGATATCAAGTATGGCTTAAAAAAAGACATTCTTAAGCAAAGCAACAACCAAAACGATTTTTTGTTTTAGTTTATTTATTTATTTTGAGGGAGAGAGAAAGTAGGGGAGGGGGAGAGAATGAGAGGGGGAGAGAGAGAATCCCAAGCAGGCTTCACACTTCAGTGCAGAGCCTGATGAGGGGCTTAAACCCATGAACCGTGAGATCATGACCTGAGCC